TGTTTTTCTTTTTTTCAAACCCGACAAAACAATACAATAATTTCAAGTTTACACTCCCGTCCAATCGAAATCGATTTTTTAGTTTAGCGCCGAATGACTTTGGTGCTGTTTTTATTAATGCTTTTTTAAATGTTAATAATATAAAAAACAATTTGCGTTTCGAAACAGTGAAGCTCTGGATGAATTGGGACTGAAGAGGTACTGCTGCAGAAGAATGCTGCTCAGCCACGTCGACCTCATCGAGAAGTTGCTCAATTATGCCCCACTGGATCCATGAATTCCACATTACTCCATTCATTTTTTTTATTCTCTTTCAACTTTGTGATTGAAAGTTTTTCTAAATAAATATGTTTTGAAGTTGATTTTAGTCTCACTCTCAAAACAATGTTTTGAATTAATTTCAAACACAAATTACTATACCAACAAAGACCGAAATGTGATATAAATAATGTACACGGAAACAAATTTATTTTATAATCCCACCAGACGTCTAAAGCTAAATGATTTTCAAATTAAAAGTAATTCCACACATTTGACTCAAAAATATTTTCTGATTGCATCATTCAACCACGGCATATTTTAACAACTTCATAAAAACTAAATGGATGGAAAACGACAAGCCTGATGAGAAATGAGACAAACTTGCAGTACATTTTTTTTTCTAGAAACACATCACCACTTGGATGCAACTTGAAAGTACATTAGTTTCCTCAGTATGTAGTTTACAAACATTCCGTGTCGGTTCTACATTTCTGTATTATTCATTCTGTGAATAATCTTAAATTTGCTAGTAAACTAAATCATAAAATAAAAAATAAACGCGAAAGAAAAAGAAGACACTAGATTGCAGACCAACAGAGAATGGAGTAAAGTGGAGAAAGGTTTCACCCGTTGTTACCAACACTACAGATACAGAACGGGACTAGATGACGATATATGTTTACATACATCTGTCTAGTATATATACATATATGTGTATGTTTGTGTGTGCGTGTATGTGTGTGTATGTGTGTTTGTGTGTGTGCTTGTGTGCAAGTATGTGTGTGTACGTGTGTTCATCTGAACGTTAATGCCTCATACAAGCTGTCACTGATCTTCTGATGGAAAATTATTGGGGAAATGTAATAGTGAGAATGACAATTATGAGGCATGATAATGAAAATGATTGAGCCAGCGACGTTCTTCCTATAGATCTGATGAGGAAAATTAGTGAAAGATTGTAGATGATGAGGATGAGTGAGAGATTGTGAATGATGAAGATGAGTGAGTGATTGTCGATGATGAAGATGAGTGAGTGATTGTCGATGATGAAGATGAGTGAGTGATTGTCGATGATGAAGATGAGTGAGTGATTGTCGATGATAATTATGATCAAATTTATTTAAAATAAATTTCAAGAGTTTTTGTAGTTCATATAACCAAAAAGCAGAATTCCTTTTATTTTCCGGTCGTGATTGTTGACAAATATAATGAAATATAAATAAAATTATTGAATTAATTAATTAAAAGAAAATTAAAAAATGCATTTTTTACGTATTGACCTTACATTTTAACAAAAATATTATTAAAAATTAAAGTTTGAATTCACTCTTATACTCTAACAGACGTAAAATGAAAGAAAAACTTAAAGAGTCAATAAACAGACTTTGATTACATTGGAAAAAAAAGGATCATTAATGATTGACATTAATAACATCATCATCAACAACAACATCATCATCATCATCTTAATAAGAATAATAATCACCATCAAATGTTTTATCATCATCGTCATAATCATAAACTTAGTCGTCGTGATCATCACTGAAAATTATCAAAATCATCATCATTACTCCGAAATTTCATCATCATTATCACCACCACCATCATTGCCATCATCATCATCACCCCAAACAACTGATGACCACTTTATTGAATCTCTCACAACATTTCATCTAATATGTCTGCACACACTCATTCATTCATTCAATGATTCATTCATTCAATCAAACTTTTATGTATTCAGCGATTCGTTCGTTCGTTCGTTCGTTCACTCGTTCATTCATTCATTCATTCATTCATTCATTCATTCATTCATTCATTCATTCATTCATTCATCCACTCACTCACTCACTTACACACTCACACACTCATTCACTCACTCACTCACTCATTCACTCACTCACTCACTCACTCACCCACTCATTCATTCATTCATTTTCTATTTTAATAATTAATTTAATTAATTATTATATTAGTTTATTTTAATTATGTTAACTTCTGTTTTACATGTTTTATCTATCTCTGACCTAACGACTCAATTCAGTTGCATTTTAAAGTTCATCAATGAGGAAATTTTCAATTCTGTATGAAAAATTTTAAAAGTCGTAAATTTACGATGCCTTGCAATGATATATGTGTAATATGCCTGTGTGAATGTTTGTTTGTGCTGTTGGTGACAAGAAAGGTTTTCATGCAACTCATTTGTTTTGTATGTTGTGTATTGCATGTTTTATGTTTGTTTGCTGTGTGTTTGTATGTTGCTCAGTGCATGATGTATGTGTGAATTTTGTATATTTGAAATTAGTATGTTTGCATGTTTTCTGTTTGAATGTTTTCGGTTTGCATGCCGTACGTTAGTATGTTGTACGTTGTTGTATGTTGTGTAGTGCATGTTGTACATTTGTATGTTGTATATTATGATATTGTATGATTGCATTTTGTATGTCTGTTGCATGTTATTTTTATGTTGTATGTTTGTATGTTGTATATTTGTATGTTATTTGTTAATTTGTTGGTTTGTATGTTTAATGATTGTATGTTGTGTGTTTGTATGTTGTACGTTTTGGCATATTGTATGTTTGTATGTTGGTGTGTTGTATGTGTGTACGTAGTATATTGTACGATGTATGTATGCTGTTATGTATGTAAACTGACGTGGCATTGAAGTGTTCATCTCATTTGAAATGTTCGTCAAACAATCAATCCATCATAGAAGCAAAAATCTAATCTTCCACGCTCTCCACCCACCGCACATGTTAACAATTTCCACTACAACATCTCATTTCTGCTGCTGAATTTATTCATATAATAAACAACTTTAAAGATGTTTGTGTTTTTTAACAAAAATTATTTACCTTCATGACTAAGTACATGTTTGTTGGCTTTATCTCATAAGTGTTGTAATAGCATTTCTGTAGTGACTGCTTCTATCCACAAACAGAGGTTTTTTTTGTATTGTACATTTATTGTACATTGTAATTTTGAAAGATTTCATGGATAAATATTCAATCAATACTGCAATAAATTATTTTATAACCATTCATGCAGAAATAATTCATCAAATAGGACCTTTTATATATTACCTGAAAGATATTAGGCAACAAATTTCAAGTTATTCATCAGGCGAGGTACGTGTGACACTCAAAGACAAACAATTCCATGCAACATCAATCCTAAATGCAGAATTATTATTCTACTAATTTGCAGCTCGAATTATCGCCAGCAGGCAAATTGTCATCGGCAATATTAGTGCATTAGTGGAGTTGCTAACAACAAATGGCTTCGTCTTATTTTTTGCTGGTAAGAGTTTTTCTCTGGTCTGAAATTGCGGAAAATCATTTGAATGCAATTATGTGACGCTGCTTACGTTGGCAATGTGTGTGTGTGTATGTGTGTGTGTATGTGTGTGTATGTGTGTGTGTGTGTGTGTGTGGTGTGGTGTGTGTGTGTGTGGTGTGTGTGGCGTTTGGTGTAAGTTTTAGTATAGGCCTCGTACGCAATGTTTTATCAATTTTTATAAACATTTTATTGATTTATATGTGATGAGTTTGACTGAACTTGGAAATTTTGGAAGGTGTAATAAACAGTTATTTTATTGTTTAAATGTTTTTTTATAGTTGTGAGAAAATTTGAAAATACATACAAGAAAGCTAGAACATTACAATTTAATGTGTAATGGACCATTGAAGTTTCAGTAATAACTGGTCAGCATTTGCTTTGTGAAGTGCCTGTAAGTTAATTTGGGATTGCAGATGTTTGCAGACAGCTGTTTGCAGGTTCACAAACTTGTTTGTCGAACAAACGTTCTTCAACGTTCATAGAATCTGTTCAAATATTTGAATGTTTGTTAGCGTGAATCAGGGTATGTGCATTTCAAGTTTTTCCTGCTCACAAAATATATTTGCTTTATAAATCAATATTATTTGCACTTCACTTGGAAATAATTTCAAAAATAAATACAAAAATGAACAAATAACAATAAAAAAAATAAAAAAATCGTAAAACCGAATGAAAAATTAAAACAAGCGGCAAAACGGGATGACCGATTGGATGAGCCTTCCTTGTTTGTACTTGCTCCACCACTCAAAGTTTTCATCTTTTCATTTTTTTTAGGATTTTTTTTTCTTCTTCTCATCACATCATGATTTTTATTTACATGTATTCTTTACCGGTCTTTTAATCTCCACCATCATCATTACAATCATCCTGTTCGTCATTTGTCTCTTCAGGCTCCCCAACATTCCTTTTATTACTTTCAACCACTTCATCATCATCATCATCACCATCATCATCACCACCATCATCATTTTCTTTATCATCATCACCACCATCATCATACTCTTCATCATCATCGCCACCAGCAGCCCCATTTATCACATGTGTTCTGCTTCATTGGCCGCTTAGCTCCTTTTTTCCATCTTTGAATTTCTTTAAACTGATGTCTGCCAGTATATGCAAATGTAACATACGTGTATGCATACATACAAACAAACATACATACATACAAACAAACAAACATACATGCATACATACATATAAACATATATACATACATTAGAAACATAAATACCTACAAGTACAAACACAAATGTCTGTGTGGTGTTGATGTTTTCCCACTGGGATACCATGGTTATACTCTAATGCAGGTTAGATTTTGGCAGACAGGCACGGCATTTGGCAATGAAAGATCACTTTTTTGGATTGTTTCAAAAATCCAATACACCAGCCGCAAAATGCCTTCAGACATGATTCCGGAATGTGATGCCAAACCCGACGAGTATATTCTCATCCCTTAGTCTAAGGGTCGATGCCTGACGTAGGACGTGACATTCCACACATGTTGGCTAAAAGGTAAATTGGTTATACATTGGTAGAACCCAGCTCCGCCGTGACAAAGGCAGCCGATTCGATCAATTCCTAGTACACCATGCACGATGACGGCACATAGCTTTCTGTTCCGGTTTGCGTCGAAACATTTCGTCAAATTGGTAAAGTCGCACAACATTTCTTTGACAATTCAAATACTAAAATAATTGACATCTCAGGTTACTCTAACGATAAAATCTATAAAACAAATTATCTCACTAGTGCTACAGAAATTTAATTTTTTTGTGTCTTATAAAATAATGCTAAATGCCCGGTCGTGCAAGATCCTGAAACTAAGATTAATTAGCGAATCGGGACCAAATGTTAGTTTTTATGGCTAGTGATTTTAACCATGGACTCGCACGTACATACACCACATACAGCACACACACACATACACATATATATACATACGTACATTCATACAAACATACACACGCACACACATACATACATACATTCATACATACATATAATGTTGTTAAATGTTTGTCTGGGGTCAATATATGGATACAGAACAACGGTTTACAACTAAACCAAAACAAGACTGTTCTTTTACCAATGGGAACATGGATAAATATAAATTCGATAACTATTAATAATTAGGTCATCCCATTTTGTCAGATAGCATCTAAACTCGGTTTCCCGATTGATTCAAGTTAGTCGATGAAACGACACATCCGAATGCATGTTTCAAATCAGGAAAATCAGCCAAATCCGACGATCCTTAGACGCATCCGCATTACAGACGCTGGTTCATGCATTTGTGCATTCATGCGTCAATTATTGCAACAGTTGGTTTAATGATTTGCCTGATCGCTTCATGGCGGTACTACAATCAATACAGAATCGAGCGGCAAAAGTTGTTGTTGGAGTTCTAAAATATAATCATGTGCCTCCATTATTAAAGATCCCCACTGGCTAACCGTCGACAAAAGAGTATTGTTCAAAGCTTCTACACTTGTCTACAAGTTCATCAACGGTCCAGTTCCATCATATTTGCCTGATAAGTTCAAAAAAAGATCTACAAAAGCACATTTGAGATCCAATGTTTCAAACCTGCTGTTGATTGCAACAACGAGTCTCCGTATAGGCTCTCGTCACATTGCTGTCTCTGGACCCACTGTTTGGAACAAGCTGCCTACTTCTCTCAGAAATTTTGACCTAGACATGCTAGATTTTAAGTAAAAACTGGAAACTTTTTTATTTTCATTATAATGCATTAATGATCAATTCTTTTTGTTTAATTGACATGTTCTAAATATTATTTTATTTACGCTATAACGCATCTACTACTTTTTCTGTTCACTAGAAAATTTTAATTTTATTTCTGTGCAACACATTGACATTCTTTCATCTGTTATTTCAATTATGTTATGTTAAGCACAGTTTTGTTAGATAACGCTTTGGAGATTCGTTTAATTAGCGCTTCATAAATATTCCATAATAATAATAATACATGCATACATATATGCATACACGCATGCATACATACATACATACATACATACAAACCTACATACATACATACATATATACATACAAATCAATCAAAGTGTTAATCCATTTGTTACTTGATGTTTGACGGTTCAGTGTCACTCATCATGTTTTGGTTTTAACATACATACATACATACATACATACATACATACATACATACATACATACATACATACATACATACATACATACATACATTAATTCAAAATATGCGGCTCTTGCAGAAAGCAAAATTTTTCAGCCAGTCTGCATTGAGACCTTTGGTCCAACCGATGCTCAGACTCAGAGTTTTCTGAATGAACTCTGTAGCAGGATTGTAGAAGTATCGGGTGACCCATTAGATAAGAGTTATGTAAAGCAATCCTTTTCTATTTTACTTCAAAAATATAATTCTTTCTGTATTTTGGAGGGAGCGTTAAAATACCTGTCTGTGCGAAGCGTTTAACATAGATTAAAGCTGAACCCGGATATGATTATTACTTCCCTATTGTTCTAATCAATTATGGGTTCATACATACATACATACATACATACATACATACATACATACATACATACATACATACATACATACATACATACATACATACATACATACATACATACATACATACATACATACATACATACATACATACATACATACATACATACATACATAAATATAAGTGCATACATAAAAATCCTTCGTACGTGAAAGAATAGAAAGAGAAAAACATATTGTTTGCATGTGTTGGATGTTTAGGAGCCGGTCTACAGAGAGTTGTACTGTTGTTCAGCCTGCATACAGCAAACAACAATGATTTCGTTCGTTCCTCTCCAAACATTCTTCACTATTGCATCAGTGCGTGCATTAGTGTGTATGCTTGTCTGTGTGTTTGTATTTATGCCTGTATGAATGTATGTATGTATGTATGTTAAAACCAAAACATGATGAGTGACACTGAACCGTCAAACATCAAGTAACAAATGGATTAACACTTTGATTTGTCGTTAATTGCACATGTCGGCATTCAGTTGGATATTTTCAAGCACACAGACACGCAGGAACCGCTGCAACAAGCACGAAATGTTGTTAGTTGCGAAAAACAGTTCCCTGCTTTCGCCTGATCTGACGCTGATCGTTTTGCATATTTCCTTAAGAAATTTAAGGGTGCTGGGGTCCATCGGGCCAAGAACCTCGATGCATATTGGCAAGAATTCCATCGAGGGGAGGGCGTTCTCATATTTTTTCATTTTCTCGTCCGCTGCCCTGGCCGCGGCCAAACCGCATTCTTTACTTGTCAGGTTTGTCATCGTTCGGCGAGGGTGCCAGGAACCATAACATCCCACGCCAAACATCTGCCGGCTCTCCAAGATATTAGCGTGCATCCGTCCGGGCGCCTACCATCATGCGCAGAAATGCCGGATGGTTCCTTGAGAACCGGGATTGAAGCCTTGGAGAAGAGCCGACAAATGTAATCGTTTAGCGCTGAGTGACGTAGTTGACGGCCCCCACCCAGGCGAAAAACCAAACCGTGGTGCCCCAACTCGTCCGCCCCTGCGCCACATCGGCACGTGTATTTATTCTGAATGACCAGGCCAAGTCTGAAGCCAATGGCAAATCTCACAGACTCGTCGTCAAGCCTGGTGCCCACAGAGGTGTTAGGCCACGATCTCAACCACCCACAGCTGGCAACGCTGGACATGGCCAACAAACGAGCGGTGGAAAAGTCGTCGCCGCATGAAGACAACAAATTTTGAAAGATTTTTTTATATTCTTCGTTCAAAATTTGGACGTGCGTACGGTCCCCCGGGGCGGACACTGGGGGAAGAATATCGCGGCAACGAAAAAACCGTTGGAGCAGGGAAGACTGCAGGTCGAGAGTGGCAGCGGCAGAAGAATTTTAAACAACGGGAGCCAGCTGAACCACGCTAAGCAACCCCAGTCCACCAAATCGCACCGACAGCTGAGCCTGGGACCAACCACTGTCAGTCACTTGAACATTGCAAATCGACGACAGGGCGGTGCGCAGGGCTCCGTCAAATTTTTGTATGTATGTATGTATCTTTATTTGTTTGTATGTATGTTAGTATGTATGTTTGTATGTATGTTTATATGTATGTTTGTTTGTATGTATGCATGTATGTTTATATGTATAAATGTTTGTATGTATGTTTGTATGTAAGTTTGTATGTACGTTCATGTGAATGTTTTCATATCAATGTTTTGCAAAATTTTTCATATTTGGTTTTTCAAAATTTTCAATTTTGATCATTCTAATATCTACTTGTTTGTTTTTTCCGTGAGGTTTGCGTTCGAACTAATCCAGCATCTTCTCTTTTGTTTCGAAACATCTTTTCATCGTCTGCATATTTTTTACCGCTGTTACGATTAAATTTTACTGCTAGCAAAGGTACTTAAACTGTAATATAAAAACTTCAAATTCTATAACGTATAGTTATACTTTTTATTATTATTATTATTATTTTTATTATAACATGATTGTTTTGTTGCTATTATTAAACATTTTATCCTTGATGATAATGATGAATGAATGGATGAATGATTACAATATTGATAGCAAAAGATTACTAAATTGTGGTAAAAATTTGTTTGTGATGATGATGGTGATGACGACGACGATGACAATGATGATAGTGACGTCATGCATCAAGAACCAGTGTCGACTGAAGAACATGGTGTGAAGAATTGTAGCTATGAGGGCAGCAGGTAGAGGAACAGAGGCTCCCTCCAACATGCATCAAAATATCCCGACTTGTGCACTTGCTAGGAAATCCTTCTCATTCATCAGTTTCGAAATGATTGTTAATTTAACTTTCGACAAATAAGAACAGTTTCATTTTTTTATTATCATTTTCTCATCATCAGTGCATTATCGCCATCCTTCGTTCATGCCATGCCATTCATCATCATCCACGTTTATGTGATACGTGAATTTTAAGTGGTTTATACTCATAATTTAGTCAGTCTATGTAATGCATGTACAATACTTTTACAGAAGTTATAATTAAGTAAATATAAACTTGGACACGTACGACACAAACACACACACACACATACAAGCACCCACACACAAACACACACAAACACAATCACATATTCGCAAGTTGATATGTGCATGTTCGTTCATGGCTGTAATATTAAAGATATTTAAATCTATGTAAATGCATGGAGGTGCGTGTGAATACGAAATGGGATGGTTGCATTAGTGAGGCTCACGTGACATCTGATTAGATTATCTCTGGAGGCGACAAGAAATGCAATGATACAAAAAATTGTCGTTCTGCATCTTTGCATGACGCGTATGACGTCACATGTGCTGCACTCATCACGTCGGCTGCCTGCCTCTGTCCACTGTGAGTATGTGCGCGTGTGTGTGTGAAGTGTGTGTGTGTGTGTGTGTGTTAGTGTGTGTGTGTGTGTAATGTGTATAGAATGTGCGTGTTTAGTTCATGTACGTGAAGTGTGCGTGCAAGCCATACGTGCTTAATGAATGTGCGTGTATGAATATTGGTATGAATATTGGGTGACACAAAATTAGGCACGCAGTTAAGGCTAAGATTGGGGTTAATATTAATCTAATTGTTCAATAAATTTACGTGACAACCGTATTTTATCCTCCTACATGAAAGTTGTTCTGCGTTGGAACAAGGTACAAACATGGTAGATTTACAAAACAAAAGTTAAAATGAACAAGCCTACAATTGTCCTATGCATTGGTGAGTCTATGACGTCTTTCTGTTATTTGAGATCTGAAATTTTTTTTTTTAATTTTTTTTATTAGTCTTTATTATTGCAGCTCTGACATACGCAGAACCACTTACAATGTTACAGATATATTATGTTATACTATATATCTATACTGTGAAATGCATACTGTGAAATCATGTTTTATTGTACGGAAAAAAACTAAAACCTTCAATTAGAATTTGTAAAAATGCCACAACCCATTTATTGGGCTGATGTTAAACTATCCACTCCACCCAGCCATTGTGTGAGTCACTTGCATGCGAACTAAATGTATCAAGCATTGAAAATATTCACCTAATTGATCGAACGACTCGGTTGGTTGGTTGGTTGGTTGGTTGGTTGGTTGGTTGGTTGGTTGGTTGGTTGGTTGGTTGGTTGGTTAGTTGGCTGGTTGGTTGGTATTTTAATGTTAATTTTTTGTAAACAATAGAACAATACGTCCGAGGGAAATTTATTTTTTATGAAACATTCTTTTCTTTCAAACACTTTTGAGTTGCCGTAGAACTCAATCGAGGGAAAAGTATATATATTCAGAATTTTTGATTATAAATTATTGAAAAATTAACCTTTTAAACTAATTACACATACACACACATGCACACACACATACACACACACACACACACAAACACAACTCAAGCGCTATCGTACAAACTCATACAAGACATCAAGCCACACAAACACACCACCAAAGCATGTAGGATAAAAGCAAAACATACAAGTATATAAACCCATACATTGAAGCACGCACGCACGCACACACGCACACGCACACACACCCACATGACCAATGCATGCGAGTAAACATTGAACGCGGATAAACTCAGCCAGTTATTTCAAAAATTAAAATATTTATTTTTTATTGTTTTTTAAAATGAAAAAAATTTTGTTTATAATTGTTAGCTAAAAACATTTTTGGAAATTTTAGTATTGAAAACATCCCAGTAGCGGCAGTTTCAATGGCAGACTCACAAGCAATAATAACAATAATTACGTGTTCTCGCTTCTCTTGAATGTTGAAAACTTAACTGTTACTTTTTGCAGTTGCAGATGTAGGCGCTTAAGTTCGCTCCATTTCATCGTTATGTTATGTTGTATTATGATATGTTGCATTCGGCTGCGTTACGTTATGTTACGCTGTCTCTCAATCTATCAATCTGTATGTCTATATATATCTATCCATCCATCTATTCCTTTTTTCATTCATCCGTCTGCCCAATTATATATCAATGCGTTCATTCATTAATCCATCCATCTATCTAGCCCTTGATCAACTCAACCATCTATCTATCTATCTATCTATCTATCTATCTATCTATCTATCTATCTATCTATCTATCTATCTATCTATCTATCTATCTATCTATCTATCTATCTATCTATCTATCTATCTATCTATCTATCTATCTATCTATCTATCTATCTATCTATCTATCTATCTATCTATCTATCTATCTATCTATCTATCTATCTATCTATCTATCTATCTATCTATCTATCTATCTATCTATCTATCTATCTATCTATCTATCTATCTATCTATCTATCTATCTATCTATTCACCCATCTAACAATCCAAGCATCCTTACATCTTTTTATCCATCCATCTATCCGTTCATTTATCCATCCAGTCATCTATTCGTCCATCCATATGCCCATCCATCCATTCATCCATCCATTCATCCATCCATCCATTCACCCACCAAGCAAGCGAACCTCAGTTATTGGAGGTCATGGTAATGATCATCGGCGGTAACATAAGTCACGCGGTAGCAATCTCGAGATGGTTGTAAGAATGTATTTTTACATGCATTTGTGCATCATGTTTGTGTATCTGTTGGTTTGCACCATTGTGTACTTGTATGTTCGGTTGTTTGTATCTTTTTATGTTTTTATTTTTTTGTGTGTTTATTGTATGTTTATATGTCCATTGGTTTGGTTGATCTTTGTTTCAGCGCTGGCGTTCGCATCATATGATTTATCTCTGAAGACGTTTGTTTCTGTTTCCAGGCAAGTGTTGGTTGGTGTGCAGCCACTGTGTAGGAATGTTTAAATTTATTTTTTTCATTGTTAACAACTTTCATTGAACAAAAATAATTTCTAGTTTTGAACTTCAAAACTTTTCAGTGAAGAGCACTCTCACAAAAGTATGATCCCTCCTCGTAAAAATTGTCTGCCTAGTGTTGGCCATTTTTTTAAACAATAAAACAAACTTATTTTTTTTACTTTCTAATTTCTGCATTTGATTAATTGTTCTCCAAACAATTTTTTTTATTTTCATAAATGTTGCAGTCAAAACAATTTCTTAATTGTAAACATGACCGTCTTTTTTCATTGCACAAATTTGGTTCAATTTTTCGGTTCATAATTTAATAAATATTTGAATCGAGCATTAGCGGCTATGTTGTTGTAAATCAATGGATATTATTTCTTAATTATAACAAAAGCCGATTAGATGACTTTTAAAAATAATTTGCCTGCTTTCATTTTTACTGACGTTAGCGAACAGCTTAGCTGAAACGTGGACTCCGAAATAGTAATCTGGTAGCGGAATCCATGGCTGAAATATTTCAAAAACAAAGCAATGACCAGAAAAAAAACATCAAAGATCACAAAAGCATTAATTAGAAGAGTAAAGTTTTAATGTGAAGAGCCTCATCAATTGAAACAACAAACTTTAGCGTAGGCTATGTCGAAGTATACAATCTGGCCTGGTACTAAAGGACCAATGAAAAATAAACTAATTCAACGGACATTTTATTAACATAAATGTTCGTTCAGCGTTGAATGAATTAAATTGTTCAAACTTGTGATGAATAATGAACATACACATGCAGATACACATGCACACGTACGTTGCACACAATTTGGGAGAATTCATTTGATGAAAATCCTCATCGTACTGGCTTGAAGTTTTGCAGAAAACATGAAGCATATTAAACTCGCACGCACAACACATAAAATCACACACATCGAACACATGAAAGCACATACAACAATACAAAAATATACTCACACACACACATTGAACACACGATCACGTACAACACTTGAATACACGCGTGCACACACCAACAACAACACACCAACAACAACACACCAACAACAACACACAAACGCAGCTCTAAATAGAGAGACAACATTCATTGAAAACGTAAATAAAGCCTTTAATGCCTGCTTGACAAATTAGTTCATATCGTCACTGCGCTCGTTTCTGTCTGTGTTAAGTATTTTTGTGTGTGTGTGCGTGCGTGTGTGTGTGAGTGTGTGTGTGTGTGTTGCATCATTCATTTACATGAATTTTTCACGCACACATACATATACACGCACATACATTCATACATATACATTTTCACATACATCCACCAACAAAACACACACATAACATTAACATAGCTTTGATACTCTTCATTGTGAGGAGGTAGTTAGCGGTCTGTTGATGAGTTGTCGCTGTAGCATTCAAGTTATGTCTCTCGTTATTTATATGATGAGGATATAGAATATTTTGAGGACAATGTTAATTTATCTATTATTATAATTATTATTATTGTTATTTTTATTGTTATTAATACAAAAATCCTAGCAAAAGTAGTGACGATGGCATGTGCTTATTAAATAGAATGTAACAATTTCTGAAGTCTAAGCATGAAAATTAAACTCACTTTGGAGTTACCCTCCCAAGAGCAGTAAGTTGGCTATCAACTGAAATTTTGCATTGCATGCACACATCCCTTGCATCCAATCTTTGTTCAATATCAAATGAAATCCGAACAAAATATCAATGACTAACAGAGTTGAAAAATACAGTCCTACACTGATGGTTCAAAGCTTAGAAGAGTCCAAAGTGATTTGAATGATTATGCTCTACTAGATCCTTGCTTGAAGTAAATTTGATAGAAACTCTCAAAAGAGGGATCTTTTTTAAATTAGGTGTCCAAAGATTCAATAATAAAACCAAAATTTTTTGGCAGATATTGTTGAAATTGGCATTGCTGTTAAATTTAAAATTAGACTTTGATAAATTATTTATGACTACTCAATCCTTATATTATTATATCCTCGATCTCCTTAATCCTTATATGATGTTATGTCATGTAGGGCGTGTTTGCCTTTTTTGTTCAAAAAGTAAATTCATTCATTTATTAAAAGTTTGTTTAGGTTAATTTTGTATTAGAACTATTTTCAATAACAGATCATTTTTTCCTGATTACATTTTTGATTAATTGGAAAAATGATTGAAGAATCTTGTTGAAACTTGTTTTTTTATATAAATGAATACTTTTTTTATAAGTGAACGCATACATCTCTCGACAATCTTTTAATAAAATTTTGATCATCAATTGTTTCACAGCAATGTTCCCAAAACCTTTCGTTCTACAGACCAATTCAACCGGCACGCTGTTTTTGTACTTGTGCTCATGTCGGCTGTTTGTTTTGTGTGAATAGGAGTAGTACAGAATAGGAGACCCTGCAACCAGCATGCATGCAGGGAAAGAAATAGAATCATTAATTAACAGGTATGATGTAAAAGTAGGTAGAATCATACATTTCCAATACAGCGAAATGTTTAAACGTACAGCAACTTTACAAATTGTTAAACCTAATAACATTTAAATCAAACTCAAAATCGTTGCAAGCACAAACAACAAGAAATTTCCATTCGGCCTTGAGCGCGCTTGTTAATTTTGAAAGAAACATCTCTTGAAATATGGACTTGAACTTTGAACTTTGATCGATGTTGTCCAAGAAAGTTTTGTCAATATATTTATCTCTACATTCAATTTCAGCGATTTGTAATTTGCATAACTCCAAACATTCAAATGGCAACATGTCGCCATATAAAAAAAATGTCAATGCACATAACACGCATACACTGGTATTCAACATGGAAACGTGCCACTTATTTGTGATGTGAAGTGTATTAGAACAAATAAGAAACAAACGCGGGCCCACTCAAAAACCTGGCAAACAATAAGCTCTGCTAACAATATTAGCAGATTTTTACGAAAATGGATAATAAATGGTAGTCGTAAAATTATTAAAACAAGTGCACACAAGTACACACAAACACGCGAAGTTATTTTTATGAATATCAACTTGAAGGAAGTTTGAAATACAAATTGTTGAATTGTTACAACATAGATTCTAACGTGATAGGGTAGTTATCTGAATGAACTCTTTCTGTTACTCAATTGCTTGAGTCAACTCTCAAACTATTACATACATACATACATACATATGAAGTGCAACTCAGTAGACATATTCAGATTACATACATAATTCTGAGCAAACATATTCAACCGTGATGACGTGACGGTGACGAACGTGATGATATACTTACTATCTTACAAATGTTAATTTATCTTATATCGGTTATATTTATATTTGAAATTATACAAGCAGTTAATAATCACCTCTGAACTGCTGCATAGTATTTAGATAAGCCAAGGTACCAGCTCTTGGTACAAACAAACAAAGAGAGCTATGAAAGGAATGACAATGATGATGAAACAGAAAATGATGATGATGACGATGATGTTGATGGTGATGATGATGGTGGTAATGATGGGGATGATGATGATGGTAGTGATGTTGATGATAATGTTGGTGATTGGGATGATGATGCGATGATAAGGAAGAGACAGGAAGGATGATTTTGCATTGTCGTCACGCAAGCAACTCCCCGAAGAACATGACGTAACACATTGAAAATCAGCCCAGAACACAACACAACAGAAGACGACACCGCACAAAACAAACACAACAACATCGCTTGAAACACGCAACATCACACACACCAAACCACACAGTCTGAATCACACAGCGCATCAAATTTGAACACCACACATAACACAACGTGCAACTGTTCTATTGACAGTGCAATAGAAATCAACACGCAACTTCTCGCAACAACACTGGACAACGTTTTACAATTGAGTGACGTAATGTTACTCTATTAACCAACAACGACACTACATGATGACTCAACAACCAAATGACAAACAATATATAACAAAAAGTTACGAGCTGATTATTAATTAATTAATTAATTAATATACAATTCTTGCATTGTTTTTGCA